GAGGAAGAACCCAAATCATCTACTGCTGTTATTGAAGAGTTTGCGAATGTTGAATTCGACCAGATAGACTACCGCAAAGTGAATATTTGTGATAATGATGATAGTACACATTTGTCTTTGGTTGATCACGATGAGATGAGAATAATGCCCACTATTACCGAGATGAACACAGGTTCTGTACAACTTGAACATGAAGTACAGTTAAAGGCAGATGCGGTGGCAGAAGGTATGGATACTTGTGAGACCGTCAGTGTAAATGATCAGCGTGTAGCCCACCTGCCAACAGATGTTAATGATAAGCTGGAGCTAATAATAAAAGACTGCAGTGGTGGTAATCTTGCAGTTAAACAACTTTCTGAAAGCCGAACAACAACGGCTTTTGATCCACCGCTATGTTCATTAACTGGTATCAATCAGTCGTCGGTGTTGTCATCCATGATGAAAGGGACGTCCATGAACTCACGCGTCTTATGCTATGGACGTATATACATCCAAGGCCCAAACCTGGTCCGCGCTAAGAGGACGCTCGGATGATCTCAACTGCCAGATGTCTCGATTCCCCTTCACTCGCGCCTAGGCAGTTCTTCACTGTCGTCGCTGAAACCATTGGCAACCGCACCGCCGGTGCGGTTCGCAAGCGTCTATACAAGGTAACATGGAGACATACATTAACCTATCTCTACCAACAATGGTCCTCACTTCAACTACGTCTTATAGCCAAAATGAGCCAATTACCTCGCCCACTGATGTGTTTACCGTAAACAGATCAATCTCTGCTCCTACAAGTCCATGCAGAACAACTTCAACTCCAACTGTCATAATCTCATCGAATACGCTGACTCAGCTGAAGGAACAGCGAATTCTCCAATTTGCCGTCATTAATGATTACACAGTATTCGATGAATCCATCGAATCAATGCAAATACCGCAGTACAACTATGCAGTGAGCACCGTCAATAGAACAATTTTATATTCTCTCACTGCTGTGTCAATGATTCGACCACTTCTGGATACTATTGATATTGACGAATCGGTTCCACCTTATATTGTCAACGCTTTCTCTCCCAAGCGAACTTCATCGCCTACTCCAAACTTTGAACACGAAGCTCAACGACAAATTATGCCAACTACTCGACTCACTCAAGATGGTTTAACTCCCCTAGTGAATATGACACCTCATAGAAACCTCTACATGGACAGTATACATGCTAACCTCATGGCTGCCATCAACACACAACTGGCAAATTCATCTCAGCAGCCGGACACTGAATCCACTCGACAAATTATCATGCAACTATATGCGAATTATATTACTCTTGAGGAAACACGTCAACTTCTGGATAAGCAGGCCCAACAGCTGTTCCCTACAAGATGGAAACCATCCAAGCAGCGGTACATCTTCGGTCTCCCATCAAACTTAAACAGCAAGAAGAGCGTCGAATTTTATATGCCCATATGCAAACGCTCTTCCACCATTCTACAAAAGATGCTGCTAACACAGCACTTGATGGCAGATGGAGAGGCCTGTTTACTTGTCAGCCTTCCGCTATAGGAGGCTTCAATGAATTTCAGATAGAAACGTTCACGCGCCCAGCCCTACCAGACACTAGACCGGTCCAGGGATACCTTCCAACTAATAACGACCTGATCGCCCCAGTTTCAACTGAAGAGATGAAATGGGCACTAAAAGAAATGGTGAAATCCGCGGCCGGTGCTGACCGCATAACTGCTAGGGACCCCCAGAAAATTAACCACCCTAGTCTGGCTGGGTATCTAAACACTCTTTTGCTGACGTCTTTTCTAACTTCACCCCTGTCAGCTTCCAGGGTCACCTTCATTCCCAAGACATCACACCCTGATAACCCTATTGACTTCCAGCCTATCTCCATAACTTCTGTCGTTACGTGCTGTCCGCACAAGATTGTCGCCAAGCGCTGGTTCAGATCATTCCCAATCGAAAAACTACAGTTTGCCTTCCTGCAACGTGATGGCTGCTTCGAAGCGACCAATCTTCTTCACGCCATCTTGAGAGAAGCGCACTCCAACTATACAAGTTGCGCATTAGCTATTCTCGACATTTCAAAAGCTTTCGATAGCGTCCTACATCAAACAATTTTAGGGGTGGCTGTAAGTTTTGGTGTGCCCTGAATGCTTAGAGAATATCTTACCAACTACTATTCCAACTCCTACAGTCTCTTCCACGAAGTGAAGTGTCATCCAACACGGGGGGCAAACAGGGTGACCCTCTGTCACCACTTCTCTTCATCATGACTATGGATGAGATACTCAATGTTCTTGAAGCCCATGACCCCATCTGCGTTGATGGTCATCCTTCGCACTACATAGCATATGCTGATGATCTCATCATCCTAGCTCCAAACGCTGCGGCTCTTCAAAACAAACTCAGACGTATCGCCGCCTCGCTAGAACTTGCGGGATTATTGATCAACCTCAACAAAAGCCGTACAATCAACATGGTCGCTGACAGAGAGCATAAAATCATGCCTCTTTCTCTGACTATCTTCAATATCAACTGCCGGTCAATTCCAGCTATCTCGCCAACAGAGGAATTTACCTATCTGGGTATTCCCTTCAATTACAAAGGCAGGCGCTGCTTCGATCATGTGGGCGACCCAGTGGATATTTAGACAATGTGAAACGCTCCCCCCTCAAACCTCATCAACGAATTACAATCCTGAAGAACAATCTGATTCCTCATTTACTCTACTCACTGACTCTCATAATCACTCACAAGAATACCCTGTAAACGATGGACAAACTTATTCGTGCAGCTGTCCGCCGATGGCTTTACCTCCGAAAGACACTCCGACTGCGTTTTTCCACGCTGATATCAAAAAAGGAGGCCTGGTTATCATGAATCTCTCAACAACGATTCTGAGCCATAGGCGCAAAAGAATCGAGGCACTGCTCAACAATAGAAATCCGCTCATACGCAATATAGCGTCCTCCGCCACCTTCACGCCTTTTCTTAGGATCTGCAATCTTCCGATGCAAGCCCACAGACAAATAGTAACATCAGCAGAAGAAGCACATGAAAGCTGGGAACAACAGCTACACTCATCAGCGGATGGTTATGGTTGGATGGAATCAACAACATGTCCTGTATCTCAAAAATGGCTTCTCAACCCTGAAATGGTCTTGCCCAAACTCTATGTACGGACCGTTCAACTGCGTGGAGAACTCTTGGGCACAAAAACGAGACATGCGAGGGGACGTCGCAGAGTCGACATCAACTGCAGAGGCGGGCGTTGTCAACCAGAAAATCTTCAACATATTCTTCAGCATTGCGCTCTTACTCATGAGGTCAGATGCAAGAGACACAACGACGTCCTCAAGCTGATCTCCAACAAACTCCGCAAATCCAGCGCCAAATTTTGCATCGAGCCACGTGTTCCAACGCCCATGTCTTTCTGTCAACCAGATGTGATTATCCTGTTAGGCGGTGTGGCATACATTCTCGACGTAACAATCTGCAGCGACGCCCATCAGCCATGCGTCGAAGATGTCAAAGTATGGAGCTCCAACGATGGTTGCTGCATGTAAACGATTCCTGTCTACAATGGGACATACAGTTCAGAGAATCATGCAAATTCCTGTTGTAATCTCTTATCGAGGGACGATCAGTTAACTCTCTGCGAAATACCTTCGCAGACTCTTTTTCACCTCCTTCGACACTTCACGCCTCTGCATCTCAACCATTCAAGGCTCTTTGAAAATCTATGATACTTACATGTGTGGAACGTATGGACTCAGACGTAGAAAAGGATTGAACCAGTGATGTAAATTTATTGCCATATAGGAATACTTTTTTTCTACCGTTTACTCTACTACCATTTGGCATAATTCACACGCAAGACACACTGTGACACTCATACACATATGTATGCTCACTGAACCTATAATACTGTTATTAACATCCTAAAATGCCTGATAACCTTGTTTATTCTATATATTCTAATTGTTCCGCACTACATACACACATAGAGCATATTGTCCCTATAAACTTCTCCCGATGTTAAATTCTATTGCTATATTCAACTGTGGATGCTAACCCATGATTCATACATGCAAGCAACATTCACATGCTCAAAATTAATAGAGACTTGTATTACATTTGATGATTCTATAAACATAAATTATTAAAAATCACACTTTTGTACCAGTTACGAATATCTCACATCATCATCAATCAATCACATCTACACACATATGTACAAACACTTCTAACTGACAGTGCTGCAGGAAGACTACACATCATTGGGTTCAACATGGGCTGATGTGCTAATTTTTCTACACTTCTGTCTATTATCTTTGATGGTTTAATTGATTAACTTACGTTCATATATTTATCTTTACGAAGGTTACTTATCCTATCTGGGAATCATTATTTGCACTTATTTTCTATTAATTTTTTGTATTGTTTTATTTTATTTATTTATTTCGCTTCCACGAATGGAAAATTTTTATTTAATATTCGAAATAAATATGTTAAACTAGGGATCGTGCACGAACGAACTAACGTAACACGACAGCGTGCCAGATGACATGTACGCTTGACCGGAAGCCTTTGGCTTAACAAGTTGACTGTACACAGTGAGGGTTAGCATCCAATGTTCAGTGATGAATGCCTTGGCCAATAATTCGGGGAATTGCCTACCGCTACACTTCTTATGTTGTCGAATAATATGTATTTGTATGCCGTTTCATTTTCACATGTCAAATTTTACTTGATTATTTTGTGTCTGACAGTTCAGAAATCGGTGGTTAGTTGTTATAAACGAATTCGCATGTCATCCGTCTACGGGAAACGAAGACTAACAGTCAACCTACCTCGAGGATTACTCACATTTAGTGAAGCGAAATGGATGGCATATATGTGTATGAAACTGAATTAATCAGATAAAATACAGCAAGTTCAGCTGTCGGAATGCATAAATAATGCGGATACTTTTTCAGTAGTACGTGGTTTTAAATTGTCTTGATGTTGCATTGCAACGTCACTAGTTTCGGCGCGCTTAGAGGGTATTTCAGAGTTTACGCTACGCGATGACGTTGTGCTTCAAGCTTCTCTTGTGGGCATACCTCGTGGTTTTGGCAGCTTCTGACAGTGCAGACAATGTCAGACTTGCAGTCTCAAAAGAAATACTAAATGAATTCATTTTCGAAGAGAAGGAGATGACTATCTTGTATACAATTTACAACTTCCACGAGTCGTAAGTAGTTTTAAAAGTTGTATGTAGTAGATGAACTACAGTTGTTTCTGTTTCACAAGTAGTGTTCTTGAAGTTTTTCTTAAAATATGATTTTCAGGGCCTTTGTAGCGTCGTCCTGTTGCTAGACTACTGGACTGCGCTTGGATTTCAAGTTATTTTTACTGTTTGTATTAAAATAGTATTGTATTAAAAATGTCAACATCAAAACTACATATTTCTGGCATACACTTCCACTAGATAAGATAGTGACACAGTCGGTCTTTATAAAGGACACGGATTTTGAGACGTTGATATGAGAAAAAAACGTAGGCATTATTTTACGTCACGTGTTTTATTCTTAAAATTTATAATTTTTAGAGATGATATAACCCTGCCGATAGTTACATGTCGTATGTTACATCAGCTGTTTCGGTAGGCATTTCATCCACACATCTATAAAAGTTTTCATTTGGGGCCCATCACTGTTGAGTCAGGTGTGTCCCATTGATCGCTATACAATTTAGGTTGAAACCATCTCAGGTTCTTAATTTCTCCATCATTAAGACGTTGAAAAAAACTGAGTCTTGTAAATACTTAACTGCTCAAACAGTGTACTTTGCGATTGGTAACAATGTTTTTTCTTTGTTCATACAGGCGACCTGCAAGAGACGTTGAACTGTTTGACGTTTTTTCTGAGACTGAGTTCACACAAATTCACGGAAGCCCTTCCGCTCGTTGGTCCATAATACCTGCTGCATCAAATGTCACACATGCCTTGGTCCTCGTGCCACAAATAAGTGGTGTTCACAACTTTTCCAGTGCTACAGTCACTTACAAGTCCAATGACCTACAAGGAAATGTTGTAAGTTCTGTTCTCTTAACTAGAAATGGACAGCTTTGAATGTTTGATCGTGTCTCTTTGCATAGGTTTTCATTTAAAACATTAGTTTGAAATGCAGAAATCAGATTAACTAGAACTATAAGATTTTTTGGAGCTAATTAAACACTTGTATGTGAATAACAGGCGTGAAAATTCGGACAAAGTATCAGTATAGAACATACTGCAGATGTTTGTTACACCTTATCTTTTAGACGTTTGGAAAAATATCAGGAAGAAAATCAACCAAGACTGACATAAGTACTAAATAAGGTCAGGAAGTGAGGCCTGTAAAGAAATGTAATGAGGAAGTGTATGGGTGTTTGTTTCGCTGGAATTAATTCTTAACTGTGCCATTTACACTTCACAGTTCTTTAAATAAGTTGTCGTTGTCAACACACTTTGCAGGCAATAATCACCGAGCAATCCCTCGAAAAAGCCACTATTTACAAATGTATGATACTGAATTGTAAATACTAATTCTTACATACAGCTAATATCACATTTACGGTGGCTATGCCAAGTGAAATATTTGTGTGAAGAGATACACTAACCAATGCTCATAACGACCTAAACTTTGGTATCATATATAGTTGTATAGTAAATATCAACATGGGTTATTGTTATTCTACAAATAACTTTGATAATGTAGAGCGTCAGCTACATATAAGTCTCTCAGTGGCTTACGTGCTCATCACTGTGGTCTGGAGACCGTAAAATTACTCATAATTAGGGTTACATTTCTTGGACAAGAATATCAAAACAAATGGAATGCTCAGGCATGTAATGGTTATTGAATAGAACGAAGTTGTTCTTGAACTCTCGTTAACAGACTACTTTATATGGTCACTGAATTTGATTTCATTATTTTCTCATCACAGCTGTTGCACACTTCTGCGCCTGGTCTAATTACGATCCACAAAGTGAAAGAGTACAACAAGCGTTTCGCTTCTCATACGGTTAGTGAAATTTAATTTAATGTTTTAAAACAATTTTTAATACCATGTAAACAACGATAGTTTAGGAAGGTTTTTGTTGTGCTGTTTGGTTAACTTGTAGCTCGTCCCTAATTTCAACAAAGAAGCCTGAACATAACGCACGTAAAAGAATGAAATGCCACTAAACAACCGGTTGCAGTCCTATGCAGTTGGCAGTGAGCCATACCTATTGTGTGAGGATTAGTGATACTACATGGCTGCCAAGACCTCAGTCACCCATTGGTTGGAAGTCGAGCACCTCGGCTGATAAGCTACAACTCCATTAACTCATAAACTCTTATGTAGAAGATTAATTTGTATTTAAGACTCATATAGATTATTTGTTAAGACTTACATATTCGAATCTCTCCTGTCTTGCACTTTTCATCTAATTACACACTGCTCTAAATTTCCACATTGCTCTAGTACATACATCCATATTTCTATTCACAAAGTTTTGAGGCAGTTGCAGTTTGAGTATTTTTAGTCCATAGCAATGTAGCTGGTTAGCTTGTACAATTAACCGAAAAAGTGAATTTCGGATTGTAACTTTGATCAAATTTTGATAGTTTTATCAGCCAAAAATATATAACTAGTCGTTTCTTATCAGGTGTCATTCGGACTTAATTGATTGACACTACTAACCTGTCATATATGTGTAAGACCAAGTGATGCTCAAGGAATGTAAAAAGATTAAAGTAGTATGGCGTAGTATATTTAACCAAAATAAACCTTTATAATCCAAGTGTGAAATGAAGATGGCATTTAATGCTTTCTTCAAAGCAACAATTAATATTAAAGATATTAGAAAAATTGGCTGTAAATCAAGTTTATACCAAGTTTATTTACTGGTTTAGACTTCCGGAAAGCGTCGCTTGAGATTGGTAATCTAGCATTCGGAAATGTTAAGTAATGAAACAGCAGTTTGTAAGAAAACGGTTTGTAGAACTTTCTCGGCTAGATTGTCTCATTTAAAAGGTGACTCATCAACATAAGTTTGTTGTTTTTCAAGTTGCGAGTATTCTACTTTTTCAGATTCTCAGGTCATAGACTTTAAAAGGATGTCTTTTTGTTTATATATATATATATATATATATATATACGCCTTAAGATGTACTACCTTTTGCCTTCATTTCTTTTAACAGATGGAGTGGATTGGTTTCGCTTTGATTATTACACCTTGTTTATTAATACCATACATGTCATGGTATTCAAGTGCATCAAAGTATTAACTGTCAATATGATTTCTTGTCATTTTGTATATTTTTTTGTTCATTTGGATAATTATTTGTACTTTTTCTTTCTTATATCATTAGTTTGTCTATGTTATTATGTACATAGAGTAAAGGAGGATGCACTTCTAATAAATGCATGTTAGAAATGCTCAGGAAATACTATTGTACTTTTTCTGTTCTCTTTCTTATATTATACTGTTTAGAATACAAACAGGCATTGTAGATTTTGTATGATATATGCATCACTTCTGTCTTAATGGTGCTAATATACGCGTGTCAGAGGGATTTATGCCTAGGAAGTAAGCAGGCATTTGGCAGTTTTAAATGTGTTATACATTAAGGCAGCATAGTATAAGATGGTGTTCTACTTCATTTCAGTCGATGGGATTGGATGTTGAATAACTTGCTATTTGAATTCGTCTAAACAACTGAATAATTGACTCATATGTAGGTCTCTACGCAGAAATTTTACCTGGTATGATACTTAGTATCGGCCATACTCTGAGGAAACCATCAAGTGACATCACTAGACAAGCCCTCGAGTGGAACCCGAAAGGGAGCGGCGTGTTGGTCGTCAGTGCAAGGGTGACTTGGAGGAGGTCATGTGAAGAGGAGCGGGGTGAAAAAGTTGGCAGAAAACCGAAGGCAATGGAGACACGCAGCTGAAGCTCTATGTTCCTCTAGGAATTAGAGGATATAATAATAATTTTTTATTCGAAGGTAGTGATATAAGCACTAATTTGAAGAGAAAATAAGCAACATTTGTTGCGTGGATACACGTCACAATAGTTTATAATTCTCACTTGATGGAATATATCATACAATGAGTTTTTAATTGTCAATGATTGTTAAAATAGTCTCATGGAAATTGTATGCGATTTCTCAGCCTTATCTTCCATCGCTCTGAGAGAGTTGTGTTGGGCATTGGTGGGTTCATATGAACTATTTAAAATGTTGAAATGTACTATCATTGTAGTAACAGACATATTTGACTTCGTTGGCTATTTTCAAAATCAATGTGGTTTATCTACGAGGTTAGTTGTAGCAGTATGTATGTGATGTATGTATCTTCGTCCATCTGAAGCGAGAATTGCATTCAACGATGTCAACCATTAAAAATTCGTTGTAAATAATTTTAACCTTTCCACATGTCTGTTGATGATGTTTAGATCTTTGTATCCGGTCGTCTATGTTTTCGTAGAATTATTTCTGAAAAACAGTACTGCTAATTATACAGATATCTGGGAGGATGTATCTGGAGAGATTTCGAGACCTCTTTGACTGTTCAGATACATTTCACTTTTACCATCCTCATCGCTCCTGTGTGACTACACATCAACTCCTGCGCACTTATTGATATCATCACATCTGAAGCATCTTTGAACAATATTCAGTGGCGCTTAATGTTTTGCATACTTGTGATAATAGCTTATTGGTTCATGTTTTAGTCATTATTCAGCTAACCAAAAGTCACTCGTGGTCTGTAGAAAAAGTGTTCATCTAAATACAGGTTGGCGAAAACCTGTTCAATTGGGGTTAATAGCTGATAACGTTATGTGGGCTCACCTAGATATGGATTTGCTAAACTAATATGAAGTCCTGGCACTTAAGTATGGAAAACACAGTGTCTCACTATGGGTAGTGCCAAGTGATATATATATATATATATATATATATATATATATATATATATATATATATATATATATATATATATATATATATTATAGTATAAGCCAGTTCGCTAAGGCACTTTCGGGACTTGAAAAGATAAATTTGTCAAAAGAACCTATATAACATCTCAATTCAAATACTTATTCTATCAACTGAGTTGATGAGGACAATAAGACCTGGTTCAAATCTAGGCTGGCAGATGTTGAGTCAATATCTCACTTCAACAATATTATATCCCGAAATTCTTCCTGAGAAGCATCGAAGAACACTGATAGGTCTCAAAAATAGTGACAAAATCGTTATACTGTGACCTGATCAAGGCTAATACGTGATGTTGATGGACAAAGAAGACTACATTGTAAAGATGAAATCAACTGTTGAGGCTTAAAGTGGAAGATTGCTAGAAAGATAAGATAAATTCAGTTACAAAGCTCATTGCAAACGTACTGAGATAACTCCTGAGGAAGAAATCGATTGACAATGATTTAAACCCCTGAGTGTCCCGTCTGTCTTACATGTATGGCCTACAAAAACAGAAAGGACATTTCCTCCTGAGACCTATACGATTACCTCGCTTCAGCAAAGAGTTGCTCGTCGACTTGCACTGAAGTTGGAACCCATTTATGAACGGCTAAGTGTGTGCATCATAAAAGATTCATTCCATTTCATCGAAAACTTGAACCATATGAACATTTACAATAAGTTAATAGTGTTGTTTGATGTAACCTCCGTGTTCACAAAGATCCCAATCAGTGAAACTGTCAAGATTATTTGTCAGCATTCTGATTTATCACTCCGAGTACCGTAGTTTAAATACCTACCGGTAATGTGTACCATGGATTTACAATTCCAATTTGACAACACTGTTTACCGCCAAACAGATGATGTAGCTATGGGTAGTTCACTTAGCCCTTGTTTTAGCGGGAAACTTCATGTCTATCCTTCAAAGAACAAAGTTGAAGTTTAGATAGTTGGAGGCAATCCACAGGAAGCCTTGGACCTACGTTTCGTGCTAGTTTGCAGTCATCAGCAAGGCATGTCTGCAACTTTAAGGAACTCATGTCCCTTCTGAGATTCGAACCCGCGTCACCCAGTGCTGCAGTCAGAGACGTTACCACTGAGCTTTGCAGTCGACGGAACAACTTGTAAACATTTAAAAAATAATGATTATCCCCAGAAATTCACTAACTGGTATGGATGATGTGAAGAGTCATATACAAAACAAATCCCAATGGAGGAGAAGCATGTTTTCATTCAAGTCGACTTTAAGTGGGGATAATATTGTAGGAATAGTCAGCATAAGATTGAATACCTTACCAGATAGAATTTACCCTGTAGCTAAGTTAGTTTACATTTATCGGACAACATGCTCTTTGGTGCAATCAAACGTTGACAAATACCCTTCTCATGTTAACTCTAACTGTGCACACAAATATGCATGTATCTGAGGTATCAGTTACACTGGTAGAACAGGAAGAAGAACGTTCAAGGTCACCGGTAGAGATGACCAAAAAAAACTTGTGGAGAAATTTACAACCTCACAACAAATTTAAGTTTGTACTGAGAATGTTGCCCAGTAAAACAATGAAAGCTTCGCAAACGAACCATCCATCTCATAGAAAACAATTACACAAAAATCATCTATCTTAGCTAGAAATCTTCTCCATTATATATAAATGGCTTCTAGCTGCTTAGGTCATTCAGTGATATATACTGTGAAGTAACTTTGTCAGGCTAACAATGTTTATTTGCTATATGGAAAATAACTGCCCATCAGACAATTTCCTTAAATAGACAGAAGACCAGTAGTTCAGCGAAGAGTCTCTTTTCGGCGAATTCATTTTCATAGCCGTACAATCGCAAATATATATGGTCAAACGAAAATACGATTAGTGAGTTCAGGTGAATTGGATGTTTATATAAGAAGGTAGTAACTAAAGTAATAAGTTATTACAAACGATTGTTAAAGAAGAGTTGCGTAATAACGCGAATAGTTTGATGAAAGAGTTGTGCTCAGGGTATACATGGAAACAAAATAACATACGGAATTACGCAAGAGTTTTAAGTAGTTAGAAAATATAAGCACAAGCAAAAGTTAAGTCAATTGGATTTCCTTAAATGCTGAGATTTGGACAGTGAAGTAATATGATAAGCCCTGACATAATACCGGTCGTGTATTTTTAAGTTTCTGAAGACGCTAGTAGCTCCATGCTATTTATGAAAACAGATATGTTGGGTCTTCCATGTATGGGCTGAAACTTTTCTGTTTCATAAGGCTTAAATAGGTGTTTTAGAGCATATTTGGCTGGTGATGACGAAGTTTTCAACTAAATAATCTTTGTTACTAAGATTTTGATTGAATCCCGGGGAAAGGAAATGGTACATAGGATTTATTGCTTGAGATATTACTCAATCATCAAACCGACAGACGATATCTAACATAGAAGATGGGAAACAAGTGCAGAGATTTGAAGATTCTTTGGTTAGAAACATATATGAATTGTACTTTGATTGGACACCAGATAGTAACTAGTGTTATACGTCCAGTCCTTTGTCTGGTAGAGATTGAATTCGGTCAGTTAAGTTTGCAATATACAACATTCGGAGACACCGGGTTTTGATCTCAGAAGGGACATGAGTTCCTTGGGATTGCAAATAGTTTCCTGCCGATTGTCTCCAATCATCTAATATGTAAACCATACAAAGCGTTAGTACTACTGAACAGTTTTCCAGTATAAATTAGGTGTGTTGTTGCATAGTAAAGTGAGGAATGATACTACTTCATTTATATTCTACAATCTAAAAGTTTAAAATGTTTTCTTATAGTTCTGTAGATTGTAAGAACTTATTTGCCGATCGGGTGGGGGCACCGACAATTATACATCTCATCCAACAGTTATACGACAATGCTGCATGCCAAGTAATCCACAACGGGAAACTTACGGAATCTTTCGAAGTGAAGATAGGAGTAAGACAAACTGGTTGACTACTATCGCCAATGGTTTTCCTGATTGCAGTAGATTGGATAATGCGACAGACAACGGGCGATGAGGAAACAGGCATAAAATGGACTCACACAAAAAACTTGGAGGATCTGGACTTCGCCGATGATATATGTCTGATTTCCCACAAACTGGAGGATATACAAGTGAAAA